GGGGGGGGGGGTCGCTAAACAGGTGCCAGGAAGGACCTCTCCAAGGAGGTGCCGGTTGAGCTCCAGCCTAAAGGACACGTGCTACACTCCCATCTTTTATTTCATCTGTGCTGATGAGAGCTCGAAACCAGGGGGCCCTCACACTTTCTCAGCATATTGGATCATGCCAATATCAACACACTTCCTTCCCCCCTAAATGCCTACCCCAAGTCAACACTACGGCACAGACTCCCTTAATCCCAACGCAAGTCCAGCTTCCTGAGAGGCAGGGGATCTGCGGTGCAGTTGGGATTTCTGCCTCGAATCGTCTGCATTGGGCAGTGAGCACTGATCCTAGCACCTGATGAGGGCATCCTAATATCCCTTGGAAGAACCACCCTCCCGTTTCTGAAGTCATGCTGAAGTTGGTGCTACTGATCCTAACTCCTGGCTCCAAGAGAGGTCATGCGGGCTGGCCCTGGCCAGTGGAAACACCCCATCCCGCTGGTCACAGTGCTTGTTTCAGGAGTGGCCACATGACCCAACATGAGCTAATCAAAGCCACTGAGCATTAGCCCTGGAACCTCTGCTGGTACCACCAGGAAAGACAGAAGCTCTTTTTACATTAGGAAAGCTCAGGTGGTAGGATGTAGGTCCAGAGGGGCCGGGAGTCACCAGACTGAGAGGGGGAAGCCAGTGCAGGCAAAGCAGAGCCTAGAGGGGGGGTGATAAGTGAACACTCATAACATCATTGGAGCCCCTGGGTCCATCCAGGTGTAAACTAAAGTCAGATCTGCCCCTTGGCCTTCTCAGTATGTCAGCCCCCAAATGCCTCCTTAAGTTAGTTTGAATTGAGCTGCTGTCTCATTTTCAACTGGAAGGGCACAGCCTGGAAAGATAGGCTGGCATCTCCTACCGGAGCCGAGTTCTCCTCTCCAAGGGGGGCCCGCCTGCGCCCACTCTTTGCGTCAGCACACCCCCCACGGTGCTACCCTCTCCCCTCTTGTTTCGCTCCGAGCCTCGGGGGTCTCGGGATGCTTGGCTTAGAGCTCAGAAAAACGGGGCCTTGCAGAAACCTGCTTCCCTGGACACTCCCCTCTGAGTGTGATTTGATTAACAGAGACCCATGGCACCCCCCTCATGCTGACCACATGCTCCCAAACAAGTAGCTGGGGCAACGAGAGAAGTGACAAACCTTCACCTGTCACAGGAAGGGAGCTTCAGGGGTTAAGCGCCCAGGCGTGGTGGCACCCGGTCAGACTCACTGGCACGGCCGTGGTTCGGGAGTCCGCTGCACCCTTTCGTTCAATGTCACAAACCCTCATCTGACACTAAGCTTGGCAGGAAGGACCTGTCTTCCCCCACCCAGCGTCCCCAGCGGTGGGGACCCACCTCCCCGTTCTCCTTCCTTAGAGCAGCCCACTAGCCGGAGAGCTAAACAAAGGGGGGGGGTTTGTAACACTTGAAAAGACTTTACCGGGGTAGGGGCGACGGGAAGAGACTAACCAGAGATCTCATAGGCAAATATGCATAACCAACGGACAGGGCTGGGAGGAGGGGAGTAAATGGGAACCGGGGGACATCTGTTAAACTGTCAACAAAAAAATAAAATAAAATTTTAAAATTTTTTAAAAAAATTAAAAGACTTTACCACCATTAAGGCAATCTCGATGAAATTAAAAAGCCGTACATCTTCTGTCATGTAATTTTTTACTGTTTTAACCTGATTATCAGTTTCAAAACCTCTGTCTCAATTGAGATTCTTTAATGTGAGCCACAAAAGCAAACTCTTGTCCCAACCTAAGAAGGAACTAGATGCTGCCGATTACAACGGCCAGCCTCTGCTTCCTCGGTCACCGGCTTCTGATTCAGGTCCAGGCGAGTGTGACAGACGTCAGAGCCTGGCCTGTGTGCCTGACCTGCTGCAGGGGGGCTGCAAAAGTTTCTGCGTTTTAAACCTGCACAGTAGGAGCTGGACTCTTTACCTACCACAAATGAAAGGGGTTCAGATGCCATGTGGCTTGAAGCATGACGAGCACCCCTAAAACCACATCAAACGTGGAGGAAGAATGGAGAATGTGCAGCGGGAGGAAGAGCTTTGGAGGTAAGCCCGGGCGTGGCACCCGAGGTGCTAACCCCGGAACTCTGTGACCTGAATGGCAGGTCCTGTATCTCAGCCCCTGCAGGACTGGACGCCTCACCCTGAATCACAACTCAGCTGACAAAGATTCTCATTTCCTCTCCTGGCTCTTCCCCTGGAACAAGATTTTCTCCCAAAAAACTCGCAGGCCCATGTTCAATCTTCCCAGCAGCCCCAGCGGCCAATTCTATCCCAGCGGAGGCTCATCCTGTGCAGGATTTAGGCTCTAATGTCAGCAGATAAGGTGACAATCGTGTCGCGCCCCACAGGAAGCCGTCGGCTTGGTCCAGGGCTCACGCCCTACAGGAGATAACATGTACCTGCCAACACCAGACCTACACTTGGCTACATGCCGAGACGCTCCCACCGGGACAGTCAAGGGAACTCGGAGGGAAACAGGGCGCACACGGTCGCACAGGTCACTGCAAGCAGGCGTGGGTGGGATGACCACGCCACTCACAGTTCAAATTATCACTCTTTTCACTGCTCTGTCCCTCCCTGAGATCACCCACGTACCAGGTGAAACCTCTCCTCTGTCTGACCTTCAGCCCTCCATTAGCAGGAGTAAAGGGTGAGTGGGGACTCCGTGTAGTCGGATCAGATCGTCCTTCCCGACTAGGTTTCATATCACCATGTTAGTCCAATGAATGAAATGGACCACGGCCTTTTAGACAAACCCCCACCCACGCCGAGTGCCCTCTGGAAGCCGTATGCCCCTGCCAGCCTCTCCTGTAACACAGCAGCCAGGCCAGCCCCGTCTCTGCTACTTGCATCCGTGAGGCGTACGGAGAAATCTACACCCCCGACTCACTGACAAACAGCAGCCTCAGGCTCAACAGCCTGCGCCGCATGAAACATAAAATGGTGTGACTCCCACGGCTATGATCATACACTTGCTTCTCCAAAAATGGGCAAATGCCAAGTCCCAAACTTAATCCTGTGTTTCAGGGCAAGCTACTCAGAAATCCATTTCTAAACTGTGATCACACAGCAAAACAACACAATTTGTTTCATAATAATATGATCTATCATGTTCTGCCAGCCAAAATTTTTGCTTGCTGCCCAAGTGTGGGGTGCATGGGCAAGAGAAAGGCGTGCTGGGGCCCCTGGGGCACCTCCTCTCTGAGGCTGCAAACCGTCACTGGGCCAAGGGCATGGAGATCGCCCCTCGCCGCTCGGAGCTGCCCGGGCTCTGCCAGGCCGTGGGCGATGCTGCTGGCAGAGCACATGCCCAAGTTAGCGCCAGAGGGCTCCTCCCCCACCACAGAGTTTAATTTTAAAAGCAGTTGAGGAAAGAGGCAGGCAAGGAGGCGCGAAGGGAGGCGAGGAGAAGGAGAGCACAGGGGGCTCACCTACCGGTAAATGATGCCCTTGCTCTGCAGAAAGAACAGGCCGATGGCGATTTCTGCAGCGTAAAACCTGAAATGAAAAAAAGCCATGGAGAAATCCAGGACACCATGAGCATGGCGACTCTCAGAAGTCAACCCAACAGTGGCCTGGGCGGAGGGCATCAGTGCCCGCCACGGATGGGCAGCCACCCCTCTCACAGAACCGAGGCTGGGCGTGGATGGGCGAGCAGGGTTTAGAGAGGCGGCCTTGAGGACAAGCTGGGGGAGCAGAGGTTCAGCAGCTGCCTGGTAGGGAGGAGGCCATGGGATATGAGGGACTAGATGGAGCACAACCGTCTCAGGATACACAAGTTGAAATACCTTGATAGTAACAGCGACCATCTGTGGACGGCTGGCCATCTATCTAGCACCATTTTGGGTTAATATCAGATTTAACCTTAATTACAATCTGATGAGGTGGGTCCTACTACTACATCCCTGCTCCTTAAGTGAGGAAATTGAGGCTCGGTGACATGAAATAACAAGCTATACAACTAATAAATGACATGGTCAGGAGGGGAGAGCTCATACTGAGGGCCCAGAAGGAGGTTCAGAGAGAATTGGAAAGCTCCCTTATAGCACAAGGGCTGGGCAGGGCTGTGGGCACTATGTTGTGTGTGTGTGTGAGAGAGAGAGAGAGAAAGGGGGGGGGAGATAATAGGAGTAAAGCCTGTAGTCCATTGACTGTTAGAAGCTAAAGAAGAGAAACGACCCTGTGGTCAAATCAGAATTGTGCCAAGATATATGAATGACAGGATCTGGAAGCAGGAGAAGGCAACCCTACGAGGATATAGTGATCACAACCCTGGCGGGTGGG